TTTCGAATTGACCTCGGACGCGAAAATTCAACCAGCTTTTACATTTACATGCAGGGAAGGCAATCTCTTTTTACTTTTCTCATTGTCACGCGTTGATCACGCTCTACGTCCAATATTTATGTTCTGATTGGTCAAAATTTGACAGGTGAGTTCATGCGGAAAATTTATGCAGCGTCTGGAAACTTGCTTACTGATAGCTGGAGCTGACAGAGTTTTGTGTCATCTTGTCTTGTGATGTTTTAAACTATCTTTTTCTACTTGGTGTACAAAATGAAATACAGCTGCTATCAAGATTGTTCTGTAATTCATGGCTGGCTTGTTTATTGCGCTTTTTGTTGACAAATGAACCGCTTGTCAAAGTCATTGGAAATCCGATTTCGGATGGCATCGTTTTCAAAAATGAGCTTACTCACTTGCCCTTGCTTGAGGCGTAAGAGGGTTGAAAAGTCTCAAGCGATTCTGGAACTCTTGATGACCTTCAGAAGCAGCATCTCGACTGGTAAGCCTGAGCAATTATTGTCTTTGATGTTTTTTTTTTCGGTTTCCTGACGTCGAGCGTATGGTTTATGCGGCTTAAGTTTATACACGAGCAATGATATAACCTACAATAGTATCAGGTTTAAAAGCCTTTAGACATTTTTTGACCGCGAATTCAAAGAAAAGGTTTCGAAGATTATTTAGTTATGATTTTGGCTGTAAACAGAAAGCTCTGAGCGATTTTCTTGCCTCGAGTTCATCTTGAAAAAGAGCCAACACCGGGAAGCCGGCTTAAAACATAAATACGCTTATGCTTCCCTGACTCATGATTTTCAGAGACACTTTACTCTCAATACTTCTCTTCGTGAATGAAAATTATTGTCTCTGTACATGTTTCACCGAATTATATTTATTTATTGATTGTTAGTAGTCTTTCTCGCAATTTTTATCGCTGCACCAGTTGTTTCCAGTCGAACATAAACATTGCATGCAGGAATACTCAAAACGCCGCGCGTAAATATCACTCGCTTTTAAAGATTACACATAGCAAAACCATACACAGTTTAATAAAAAAAGGGAAGTAAAACCTAAACATAACAATTTCTCTATCATTTTGAAGCGTAAATGGTAATTCTATTAATCGTACTGCAAATTTGGTGCCTGTCAAAAGTGAGAACCCGTCCGGCTGGCCGAAAAGTGATTTTGGGAATTTTTTTAGTCATATAGGACCAGATTTTTCTAACTGAAAAGTCCCGGCATTATAGAATTTTCTTCATGAAAACGTTTTATAATTCAATGCTATAATTTGTTGTGCAAAGGAAGCGAGTGCTTTGATCGTCGTGGATATTGAATTAGTGCAATTGTGAAAAACTGCAGAATTATAGGTTTAAATAGGGCAAAAAAGAACAAATTCTGTCCGAGGTCTGTATGATAAAAAAGGGCCTCATAGTACTGTTTACCTGAGACGTGATGAGTAAAACTATGTTTAAAAGGCTGGGTTACACGGCACCAGATTCGTCGCCAAGATTTACTAGTAAACTAAACTTGTCGAACACAAAAAATCCGGCCTCATTTTTTATTTTGGCCTCTCTTTAAGACAGAGGAATGCAACGTGTAAATTGGCTGCCACCAAGGATTATCGTGGCGCGTGTGTTTCTTAAAATTATATTTCGGGGTTGTCCAATTACCCATGGTCTCTCAAACGGAGCAATGTTGGAGAGACTGGTGAATGCCACATTATGATGCAACAGCTGATGCAAATACAATACACGAATAGGTAGGTCTATTTGTTTTCCAGGCCTAATCTACTGTGATCGAACATGATTGCTATTTTTGGGTGTACAAATAAGACTATTTAATAACTCGATGTAAAAGCTGTTTCACTCTTGGACTGTCAAATTATTTTTCTCTAAAATCACTTAGCCTTTGCCTCAAAAGCCAAATGAAGGTGCCCTGATTTGTGGATTACAAGTTTATTGTTTGATTTAAATTATGAATTTATTTACGGGAGCTTCGCTTTTAGCCCTGGCTAAATCTATATATTAATCTTCAAGGGTATGACGCTCATTTGTTTATAAAACAACTCGCAACTTTACCAGGTGAGTTAAATTGCATTCTTTCAACGGTAGAAAAATACATATCCTTTTCTAAAAAGATTAAAGTTGATGAGTATAGGTCTAAAAAAAACGATGAAATGGTTTCATTGTATTTTGAAATTCGTTTTATAGATTCATTTAAGTTTCTTCAAACATCACTTGCTAATCTTGTTTCAAATTTACAACCAGATGATTTTTATAATACAAAACGAGAATTTAAGAAAAATGTAGATCTACTTACTCGTAAGGGAGTTTATCCTTATGATTATGTTTCATCACTTGAAAAACTATCCGAAACACAATTACCACCAAAAGAAGAATTTTATTCAAAACTAAACGATGAAGACATAACTGAAGATGATTACCAACACGCAAGTAATGTATGGGATACTTTTAAATGTAAATCATTAAGAGATTATCATGATCTTTACCTAAAGACTGATGTTCTACTTTTGGCAGACGTATTTGAAAACTTTAGAAAAACTTGTCTAAAACATTACAAGTTAGATCCAGCTCATTATTACACATCCCCTGGTTTAGCTTGGGATGCATGTCTCAAAGAAACTGGACAGGAATTACAATTACTAAATGATTATGATATGTTAATGATGATAGAAAAAGGTATTCGTGGGGGTATTACTCATATATCAAAAAGATACGCAGAAGCGAATAACAAATATATGAAATCTTACAATCCTGATGAGGAGTCCACATTTATTCAATATCTCGATGCAAATAACCTTTATGGTTGGGCAATGTCTCAATCACTTCCAACACATGGATTTAAATGGATGAGAAACCTAACAAAAGAGACATTAATGGAAATCCTAGAAAAAGTAAATCATAGTATGTCGAATCGTGGAAGAAAAGGATATATATTTGAAGTTGATTTGGAATATCCTTCATCCTTATGGGAAAAACATAATGACTATCCTTTAGCTCCTGAAAAGTTGATTGTTAATGGTGTTGAAAAACTAATTTGTCATTTTAAACCAAGAAAAAATTATGTTGTACATTATCGAAATTTAAGGCAGTATCTTGAGATGGGAATGAGAATAACTGCGGTTCATAGAGGAATATCTTTTTACCAAAGACCTTGGATGGAACCATATATACGCAAAAACACTGAACTTCGAAAAACAGCAGCTAACAGTTTTGAGAAAGACTTTTTTAAACTTATGAATAATTCAGTGTTTGGAAAAACAATAGAAAATATAAGGAAAAGACAAAATATAGAACTCGTTGATAATCGTAAGAAAGCTGCTAAACTAACAAGTCGTCCAAACTTTGATAGGGCTACGATATTTGATAAAAATCTTATAGCAGTTCATATGAAAAAAACCGAAATTTATTTTGACAAACCAGTATATGTCGGTCAAGCAATTCTAGATTTGTCAAAAACATTAATGTTTGATTTTCATTATAATTACATCAGAAAGAAATACAAAAATAAAGCCGAATTATTGTTTACAGATACAGACTCATTAATGTACCAAATTTACACAGATGATTTTTACAAAGATATATCACATGACATAAAAAACAAGTTTGACACATCTGATTACCCCCCCAATCATCCATCTGGAATACTGACAGGAGTTAACAAAAAAGTAATTGGAATGTTTAAAGATGAAGTAGCAGGAAAACAAATAACTTGTTTTGTTGGATTACGACCAAAACTTTACAGTTTTAGAATAGAAGAGGATAAAGAGGTGCGAAAATGTAAAGGAATAAAAAAAAATGTTGTGAAAAAGAAATTAGATTTTGATGACTATGTTCAATGTTTATTTTCAGGTAAAAAAGAAATGAGAAAGATGAATATAATAAGAAGTGAAAATCATGATATATATTCGAAAGAAGTTAACAAAGTAGCTCTAAGTAATGAAGATGACAAGCGTGAAGTCCTCTTGGGTAAGGTAAAAACGATAGCTTTAAGATAATAAGATAGTTATTTAATGAATAATAAATGTCATATACAGAAGACCAAATAAAGAATTATCTAGAAATATTACATAATTATACTAGTAAACCCATTGAGGAATCAAATTTGAAAGCTAAATGTAGTAATTGTGAAAACAGTACATCTTTTACCATTGATTACGGTTATAAAATCTGTGAAGAATGTGGAGTAGCAAACGGACATGTATTAGGCTTTTACGATATTAAAGATTGCGATAGATTATATTTTCGAAAAAAGAGTATTTATCAGCGTAAGTATCACTATGAGAAAAAGGTTAATCAAATTTTTAAAAGAATAAACCTAACCGACGAACAAAAATACGAACTTTACAGTAAGTTAATGAAAATAGACAATAATATTATGGAAATACTAAACAAGAAATACTGTAGAAAGAGAATGATAAGTATTTTTTATTTAATCAAAAAACTTTTGGCTGAGATGGGTTGTGAAAAGTACAAACTAGTTTATCTTAAGATTTCACCACAAACTTTAGATAATTATGAAAAGTGGTGGGATAGTTATAAATCACTCAAAACCAGCTAGATTTCAATATTAATTTAATATTGAAATCTTACTATTGATTACTTAGTCCGAACTTTTTTCTATACCTACTAGAAAATCTATCTGCTATTGGTGTTTGATCGATTATCATTTCATCTACCAACTTCATGCGATCAACAAACTCTTGTTTATCCCACTCATCTCCCCGAAGAGCTGCACGCAGTTCAACAAGTACTTTTTCATAAGTAGTGAATGCAATTCTTGTCATCTCAATTTTTCTCTTATGATTATTTTTCTTTCCAATTCCCGCCACAATAACTCCTGCTCCATTTACTACTCCGAGAACAACAGGGTTCAGTGTTATTCCTCCAGCAATAGTTCCAATCGCAACCAAGCATATCCCAGAAATTGTAAAAACATCGTCAAGAAATTTATAACTCTTATACGATTTCTTAAAACACCAGTATTTCTTGTGGTAGTGACTATAAAAGTCTTTGAGGGTTTTAACGTCTGATTCTGACAGAGATTTATCTATGTGATTGAATTCAAAGATATCCTTCATTTTATTCTTTTGTTTATATTAATGTGGTGTTGGTTCCACTATAATATAAAACTTCCATTTAACTTTTCTTGTAATATTATCTTATGATATTCAACAGAGTCGGTGTTGTAAAAGTTTGGAGAAAACATTATTTTGCTTATCGTTCCATCTTGATTTGTAAACTCAAAATTTTGTTCGTGGGAGTAACGATTGGTTGTCACACTTAATATTGCGCTGTAGTTACTTATTTTAACTTTTGTAATATTTGAGTTAGCATTTTCTGTTAACCATATAATAATTTTTTTCTTATCAAAATTACTTGGAAAGTAAAGATGTTTAAAATATTTTCCCTGAATATATAAATCTAAATTGTTGTTATTACCATTATAGATTAAAGATAATAAATCACTTTGAGAATTTTTATCTTTTTTCTTTATACTAAAATTTCTATTTCTCAAAAGATAAAAAATAACACAAAAAGTATATTTTTGTATACCAGCAGTAGGAGAAAAACTAACTTTATAATTTTTAATATTTAAGCCTTCTTTTCTTATATCATCTATGGTTCTATTAGGTATACCCATATCTCTTGTAGTATCACCAGTAATAGATTTTAAATAATTAAAAACAACGCCAGATGAGCTTTTATTTAATTTGCAATTAGCTGCATCAGTAAAATCAAAAACTTCTTCGAAATATTCTCTGTACAAATTATTTACAGTGTAAGGAGCTAATTCCTTTACCATTGCAACTGTTGCAGCACTGTTAGCAGTGTTTCTATCAAGATTAATGTTTAATATTTTTTTTATTATTTGCATTTATATCAACGTTGTACACTACTTCTGTTGGTTTGATATCAAATGCGGTGTGATAGTCGTAAACTTTATCTGGATCGATATTGCTAAATGTACCCATAATACCATAAGCAATAATATAAACTCCTGAAAACTGTCTCGGATACGTAGCCAGGTTATATCCACCCCGAAGAATATCAACCAAAATGTGAAGAAAGAACTTATTCCCAGATGACAACTTCCGGAAATTAACTATTATTCTGTGGTAGTACATAGTTTGTGTTTTCCCTGTTGAATCAGTATACTTATGGGATAGTTTTTTTACGCCTAAATTTCCAATTGATAATCCTGTTGAAGTTCCTTTGTCAACACTTATTTGAGTATTATTCCAAAGATTATAATCAGTGTTGAGTATTTCCAAACACAATGTGTAATCAGTATTTGCAGCTAGTCTGAAAAAATTAATTCCCATCTTATAAATATATTTATTTAGCTCATTTTTGATTATAGTCATGAAAAGTACTTTGTGGTTATAGTCATGAAAATTACCTTTAGAAGGAGATAAGTCTCCTATCTTATTTATAACAAAACTAACTCCTCCATCTATTTCATCAGTCCATTGAGCCCCACTTGACATGAGATAATCAAACTCATTTTTATAATGACTTGGTTGAACTGCAGTATGATGAACTAGATTGTCGACATAACCTTTGGTTACTGCTTCATTGTCTTGGGTTGGTCCACCCAGATTCTTTATTTTATTACCACCAAGGTTGACATCAGCTTTTACAACCCCACTTATTACAATTTTAGGTGTGTTGATTTCTATTCTCTTAAGTGGTTTGGTTATTGCTTTTGGTAGATCAGTGAATAGCCTACAAGTGATAGCTGTGTGATTTGAATTGTTATGGGTTCTTAGTTTTACTCCTGACATATTATAATTCCAAGACTTGTGAATATTTAATGACCAAGTGCCAGTTCGATTTCCACTCACCCAAAAGTTAGAATTGGAATGAGAGTCATCTCTAGGAATAAACCACAAAAAGTCAACGTTTATATTTCGCGAACCAAATTGAAATTCTATTTTGTTAATGTATGTGTTAGCAGTTGGTGTCCACCCTACAAGAGGTTGACCAGGTGCTGATGTTGTAAAAACAAAATCATCAAATGATGAACCTGAGATATACTGTAGATACAAAGTCGTGGGCGCAGCTGGATCTGTTATAGTAAACACACCACTTGTTCCATCTCCAGAATGATGATCAAATCTTTCTATTTGTTTACGAACCCATCCGCGATTAGCAGCTTGTTGATCTGTGGTGGGGTCACTGAGGTTAACTATTTTATTGTTGTTAAGATTTAAGTTTCCAGTCATAGCGATGGTACCATCTTTTTCCAAGTAATCACTTAAATCTGGGGCAGCTGTGTTATCATCCACATATTTCTTTGTTGCAGCATCTGTGTTTGTTGTTGGAGTTGCTAGACCAACTATTTTTTTGTTTCCAAGATTTAGGTTATTAGTCATTACTACACTTCCATCTTTTTTTATAAAAGAACTAGTATCAGGTATTGAGTCGTCCACATACTTTTTGTTTGATGCATCTGTGGAGTCTGTTGGTGGTCTAAGGTTAATTATTTTTTTATTATCCATGTTTAGATTATTAGTCATTTTATTTGTTCCAGCAACGTGAAGATACTTCATATCTGAGAAAGCTAATGGTGTTGGTTGTTTGGGACCTGTTGGAGCTGGCAGATTTAATATTCGATTATTATCCATATTGAGATTACCTTTCATTGGGTAAGATCCATCTCTGTCAACAAATGTGTTGTCTACGTAATATTTTGTAGGAGGTTCTTTTGCATCCAGTGGTGTGCAAAGATTTGTAATTCGGTATGTATTCTTCATATCAATGTTTGAATCAACTGTTAGATGTGTTGTTGATGATCTGGTGGAATTGTCATCAACATACTTCTTTGTGGCGGCATCATTATTATCACTAGGTGCTCCAACATTTGTGAGTCTTTTTTTATTAATATCATAATTACCATTTGCGGTTAGACTAAATCCAACTCCTGGAGCACCCTGAATTCCTTTAGCAAAAGGATGATCAAAAGATTGTTCGTTAAATATACCCATTTTTTTATTATTAGGATAGATTACTAGTAAAGTTTTTTGCTATAATTTTTCTTGGTTTATCAACGTATAGAAATGTAAAGGGTTCTTTTGTTGCCGCCCTATATATCTCTTTGTCAACTCCCAACTCAGATGATATTCTGTTTGCTTCCCTCGATGATGGAAATTCATACAGACAGTAGTGAGAACAATTCAATCGAATATCTTTTGGAGTTTTGTAAAAAGACTGACTGAGGTAGATTACAGAGCAATTCTTATGTCGTCCTTGAATGAAATAATCAATAAGTCGCCTCTGGTTTTTATCACAAACGTAGTCATCAAATATCACAAGTTTTTGGTTGTCTTCATAATCCATTTCTGACACTGGGATTATTTCATCATTACTCACATGAAGTATTTCATATTCCACTTTATGACTTAACTCTCTCATTTTTTGAATTAGCTTTTGATACTTATCCTGTTCTAGATTACGTGCGTAAAGATAAATCTCATCATAGTGTAGTAGTGGTTTAATTAACATATGATATAACAGATTAGTCTTACCACTTCCACTGTTTCCACAGATTAACATTCGAAACGTATCCGCCGGCATAAAAGGAAATAACTGTTTATATTTTTTATCAATGTCATCGGTACTATCATAGTTTGGAATTTCCATTTATCTAATATGTACATTAAATAAAAATGGATATAGAAGAATACAAAAAACTTGCAAGAAATAAAATTGAAGCTGAAACTTTGACTAAACAGGTGAGAGATGTTATAAAAACAACAAAATGGCAAAAACAAGATATGAGAGAGGGTTTTAAAGAGACATTTAAACCACTTATTAAATCTCAAGATAGCATTAAAAAAAGTATTGATGAGCAGCAAAACGCAACTATAGCACAACTTCAAGCTAATCAACTTGCTCTTACACAAGGTCTTAATCAAAACAGACTTGCTATAACTGAAGGATTTGATAAACTTGATGAAGTAAAAAAATGGGATTTGGCTCAATTACCAGGTTTTGAGGCGATTGAAGAGTCTAAAGAAGATGATGGAGTTTTACCATCTACATCAGATGAAGGACCAAAATAGCAAAATTCACACCTGAAGACCTAGATAGATATTTATTGAGTAAAGAAGCACAAGATATACTCAAAGTTAATGAATACCACAAACTCCCTTCTGAGTATTTTGAAGAGGATGTTTCTACTATTGATAAAGTAATCGAAGATGTTAACGAAGATTTAGAAGATACTAGTAAAGCAATAAAAAATACTGCAATTTTTGTACGTGACCCAAACGGCTATGCTATAGCTAAACCAATAAGTAAAAATCCACATGAAAAAACAATAAATTTTATAAATAAATATAACACATTAAGCATATATGTAACAAGTTTAAGTAATCTTAAGTATTACAAAGAAAAATCTGGCTCTGGTATGATTTACTTTAACAACCCACATCAACTTCTAGACAGACTTGAATTACTTGGTGGATCAATTCTAGCTGGTAATAATGGTGTGATAAATGAGTTTTCTCAAATAGCACATCTTCTCAACCAAATGAAAGTAATCTCAAAAAAACAACTGAATGATTTACTAAAAAATTATATATTATTGGGGAACCTACGGTTCCCCCTATAACCCCCTCCCTCTCTACACCGCGTATAAAATATATATTCATTAGATAAAATGGAAGAACGAGCTATCCACATTTCTTCAATAAATAGGGAAAAAAGAGGAACAAGCAGACCCGGTGATTTTACTATTAAATTTAATCCATCTCTAAAACTTGACCCTGATAAAAAACATCAACTTGCTCTTGATCGACTGTCCATGACTTACTCTTGGTACAACATTAGAAGTGATTATGGAAACAATAAAATTAAATACACTCACGATGGGACCAACTGGCAAACAATTACTTTTGTAGATGGAATGTATTCCTACTCAGATATCAATGATTACATTCATCAATATATGTCTCAAAAGTCTCATCACTCAACAGATTCAAGTGGAAAAAAGACTTATTCGATCAATCTAACTTTTATACTATCTACCTATCGAGTGTTAGTATCACTTGAAGGTGATTACCAAGTTGATCTGAGAGGAACAGATTTTGGAGACCTGATTGGATTTGAAAAGAAACTTATTACAAAAACAGAGTATGGATCAAAACTACCAAATATCACAAATTCGATTGATGTGTTAAATATCAACACAAGTGCGATAACTGATAGCATTGTAAATGGAATAAATACAAATACTCTTGCTGTAATACCAACTGATAATCTCACAAGGTCTTATCCATTTACTTTCGAACCTAAAAGACCATTGTATTGCCCTTTATCATCATTTTACATTGATGAAATGAGAGTCTATGTGACAGACTCACTTGGAAGACCAGTAAATTTCAACGGTATAGATTGGTTTATGACTTTGATACTTCACTCGATGTAATACTTCGTAGTTATATAACTATTAATATAAAATGATGCGACAATCAGAGTTTAAAATGAGATTAGACCCTGAATTGGGTAGGTATACAAGACAACATATTTATGGTGAAGGAATGATGGATGTGTTTAAATCAGTTGGTAAAAAAATATTTGGAAAGACAATGAAAAAAGCTGCTAAAAAGGGTGTTGAAAAAGCAGTAACAACAGCTGCAACAAAAACCGGTGAACATGCTGGTAAAAAGGCCGGTGATAAAATAGTTCAATTGTTATCAAAAAGTAATAATAAACCAAAAGTTACTTTTAATAAAAATGTAGAGACAATTCCAATTGAAAAAGTTGAGACAATTCCAAGTAAAAAAGAGATAAATCAAAGAGTAAATGCCATTCTTAGTGGAGGATCAACACGTAAGAGAAAATTATATAATTATTAAAATAAAATGAAGTCCTTTAGAAATCCAAAATATTTAGAAAGATATGAGGATGTTGTTTATGACCTGGAACAAGCTCTTGATACAGCCCCAGCAAATAACGCTCACCAAACTAAAACAGGCCTTAGATTTGTTGCTGATAATACAGGAGAAACCACTCCTTTTGATTGGTATAACGCACGATTATCAATGGATTTTAAAGTAAATAAACTAGCAAACGGAGCAAACATCGCGGTTGCTGACCATAATGGAATTGTAAATGGTAGTAACTCCTTTATACAAAAATTTAGTATAATAGCAAATGGAAGAGAAGTTTATAGTTGTAATTATGCGAATCATGTTGTAAATATTAAAAATTTACTAGAATATAATCCTTCATACGCAAATAGTGTCGCTACAAACGAATTATATTTTCTTGATACTTCAAGAGAAGTAGAGGAAAGAGAATTTGAAGTTAATGGCACAAATGAGTTAGCTAAAAGAAGAGCAGAATATAGCAAAGGTTTCGCCGCAAGAAAAGCTCTGTTGGGAGCTTCAGCCACAGTAAACTGTGAAATTCCTCTCAATAGATATTCTTTCTTTGAAGCATTGGAAGACAAGCTACTTCCTAATACAAAAATCGAACTAAATATTGAAATTGAAAAAGATGCTAATTTAATTTTTCAAGCCGCTGATAATTGTAGAGTTATTTTAACAAGACTACAACTTTTTGTTCCAAGACTTACTTTTAATTCTGAAGGACAAAAGTTATACATGGAAAATTATCTTAAACCTTACAAATGGATATATTTGAATGAAGTAGTTGAAAGATCAAATAATACACAGCAACAGACAGGACATTTTAGAATTACAAATGCCATTTCAAAACCACGCCATGTATTTATTTTTGGAATTGATACGGCAAGAATTGATTCTCAAACGGCGAATCCATTTTTATACGACACTTTCGATCTACCAAATAATGCTAAAATATCAAGATGTTACCTGGAAGTTGCAAATGGAAACGAATGCCCCGATATTCACTTTAAACCTTCTACTGATATGGCAAGAGTTTTTAGAAGTGTAATGTCATACATTTATGCGAATAATGATTATCAAGGTGGAACACTTCTCAATAGAACAAATTTTGAAAATTTATTTCCTTTTGTTTATTTTGATCTTACAAAACAAAAAATGGATATAAAAGATGGAGTTACAAAATTAGCATTTCATTACGAATTAACTGCTAATCCAAACGCTGATTATAATATTTACGCGTTAGTCTTACATGAAAGAGTAGCAGAAATATCACAACAAGATGGAAAACTATTGCTTCGTGCTTAATCTCAGACATACCTGCGTCCTTCCAACTGTTTCAAAGTGTAAGACATAATCAAATTTGTATACGAACTGTTATAATTACATAGAATTTTACACAAGATTTTATAATTACACAGAATTTTATAATTACATAACATTTTCTACAAGTTGTAGAAAATTCTGTGTAATCATTTGATTGGTTGAAAAAATCACACGATAATCTCGTGATTTAAAACAATAACCTTCTAGAAGGTCACTATGACATAATATTTAGATTTTGAAAATAAAATCTAAATATATCACACCTAGAACATTCAAACTAATTAAAAAACTTAACCACCAACTGAGAGAAAACAAATAAAAAAAGATTAAGTGATGTGATTAAATTTTATGTAAATAATATAATAAAAAATGACTACTTATATAGAATATGGAGTAACACTTACAGATGGACAAAAGTCAAAACTGGCTTCTGCGATAATAAATCAAACACCACTAACTCTTCGGTTAAAACATTCTCATCTTCAAGGTTCTGATGAGTTAATGTTGACAAAAAGACAAATTGATAAAATAAAAAAATCTCTTACAAATGGAACAGGAACGGATATAAAGATAAGTAAAACTCAAATTAGAAAATCTGTGAAACATGGTGGAAACTTATTTTCATCACTCGCATCTCTCGGAGCAAAAGTTCTTCCTTACGCAGTAAAAGGAGTTTCAAAAGTTGTTCCCGCATTAGCAACTGGTGCTGCAACCGCACTCGGAGAAATTGGATTAAATAAAATATTTGGAAAAGGAATCACAATTCCCCCACAGTTTTTCCCAATGCT